CCTCCTTCATGTTTCCTGCTGCTGGTCCCAGAGGAGCGTTTGTTTTAATCAGCTGACAGTCCCAGGGGGGAGGAGGTTACAACAAAGGAACACTCAGACTGACAGACTGATTTAGTCACTGATGTGGAACCCGGCAGCATCCTGAAGGAACTCCAGTCTGCAAAACGTATCGAGCACCTCTAGAACCTGATGTTAGCGCACATCAACCAGCCAAAGAACCTCATCAATGACCAGCAGAACCTCAACAAGCCCCTCTAAAACTTAAACTACGACCTCTAGAACCTCATATAGAACCTATATAACTTAATCAAGAACCTCTCAACTCCTCAGAAGGACCTCTTTTACTTATCAACAACCTCTATGAGCTCATCAAGAACCTCATTATCAACCTCTAGAACCTCTTCAAACACCTCTAAACCCTTATCAAGCACCTCTAGAACCTTATCTTAGCACACATAACTCTCATCAACAAGCCGAAGAACCTCATCAATGGCCTGCAGAACTAGGACCTCTTAAACATCATTAAGGATCTCCAGAACTTCATCAAGCAACAAGAACCTCATTCGGGATGCCTTTTTATCACCTTTAGAACCTCATCAAAGACCCCTAGAACATTATCAAAGACTTGTAGAACCTCATCAAGGAATCCGACAACATTTTGGACAGCTTCAAGGACCTAGAAACGTATGAAAGCCTTCTAGATCCTCATCAGAAAAACCTCTTCCATACCTTTGTGATTTTATGGAATTATTTTTACAACAATAGGAAAACGTAACATATATTTAAAGGGTAACCAATCTCAGCAATCCAGGGAGCTCTGAAGGGTTCCTGTTAGAGAGTGTGTGTGTGAGTGTGTGGGGGGGGAGGTCTGCAGCAGAGAGCCAGACAGGTATGTGGTGTTGGAGGGTGTTAGATGGTGTTAGAGGGTATGCAGCCGTGTTTATGGAACATACCAGAGACCAGAGACAGGTCACAGAGCATGCTGCTGCAGGTCTGAGGAGAACATGCTGGATCACGCCTGAGATCACAGAGCTGTGTGTGTGTGTGTGTGTGTGTGTGTGTGTGTGTGTGTGTGTGCGTGTGTGTGTGTGTGTGTGTGTGTGTGTGTGTGTGTGTGTGTGTGGTGTGTGTGTGTGTGTGTGTGTGTGTGTGTGTGCGTGTGTGTGTGTGTGTGTGTGTGTGTGTGTGTGTACAAGTCTCTGAAAGTATCTCAAATGGGAAAGAAACATTAAATAAAATCCTGCAGTCGTCCGAGTCCTGATGAATAAATAAACTAACAAACAAACAGATGAACGGAGAGAAGTAAAAATCTGCAGTCAGACTCTGGCACCTGTGTAATTAGCGGGCTAATTGCTAATCACATGCTGTGTGTTGTTAGTGCATCCACAGGACACACACACACACACACACACACACACACACACGCACACACACACACTGTAGCCATTAGCAGCTAATGAAGCCTCGCTGCCTTAACGACCTCCCGTTAGCCATTAGCCACCTGATGAGCTCAGCGCTAACACTGCCTACCGCTAACGCTACGCTAATGACTGCCCCATTAGCGGCTGATGAGCTCAGCGAGAGAGTAGTAGCCGTTAGCCGCTAGCTGCTAGCAGTCCCATTAGCGGACAGGTGACTGTGAGAAATAATAAATATATTGTGCCGGAACTTTAAGGGACATCATTTACCTTGGAGTTCCGGTTTCAGGTTGTTATTGTTTTTAGCCTCACAGTAGCATGTAGCTAATAGTATATTGTGTATGTGAATATAAGGAGAATGACGCGTGGAGTGACATACTAAACACACCGCCTCCAACTCTCACTCATCAACGCTGCATTCCTACTATTATTATGTGTTTAATGAGGGGTGCTAGTGGATCGCCGGAGCTGTTAGCATTAACATGCTTATTGTAGTTGTAAGTGCACTGCCTTGCGGCCTGTAGCCATCCTTGATGGAGCAGATGTGTGGGCTGGACCTGTATTTCACAGCAGAGGAGTGAGCAGAGGGTCGAGTTGTCCATTCTTGTTCTGTTTTCTGTGACTATCTTCCTCACCCTCTCAGACTTTCAGTTGCGCGCGCTACTAAAGAGACGCGCTACCATGGAAACCAAACAATGGTGTAGCTGAATTGAAGTCCGAGTGGAAACAGTCGTGAGTAAATCCGATTTTGTCAGAAATCGGGAGAAATGCGGGAGAAATGTGACCCCGGGAGGAAACCAGGGAGAGGGCAATGAAATCGGGAGTCTCCCGCGAAAATCGGGAGGGTTGGCAAGTATGGCCACATCATCGAATTTTGAGGAAAAAAGTCTGAATTTTTGGGGGAAATCAGAATTTTCTGATTTTCTGAAAAAAGCCAACACATGCTCTGTATGTGATGCTACTTCCATTCTTGAGAGGATCATAAATACATGGATCCTGAGATTGAAGATCAAGCCCGTGACCACTGAGATTTTCTTAACACTCTTGGTCTTCAAAACAAGAATACATGACAAGTGACTCACCTGCACACTTAGTCCTGGCCCTCAGCGGGGGTCCGGGGTTTCCCGTGCCTCCGTCCAGGGGCCGGGTCAGCAGCACGCTGATCTCGTACTCAGTGTCGGGGTCCAGGTGTCCGATCTTATGTGTCGGTTTATCCACGGGGGTGGTGTCGATCAGCATCCCCGACATCGTGCGGTACTCCACCTGAAACACAGAGTAACACCTTTATTTAAAATCCAACTAATAATAATAATACATTTAATTTCTGTAGCGCTTCTTCTAGTGCTCAAAGACGCTTTACATACAATTAGAAACAGAAACAGTACAAAGAAGAAAAAAAACATTAACAGTAGTCCTAATCCAAGTGTGAGTAAAGTGGGGGGTTGTTCAAGGTTCAAGGTTCAAGGTTCAAGGTCCTTTATTTGTCAAACGAACATAGCTACACAAACCACAGACCTTATTTCAGCTATCTTCCAAAATCCTAAGGAGAGATTGCTTTTTTGTCGAAGGAACCATGGATGTATAATAAGAACTGGATACAGCGTGGGAGGCACTCACTCATTCCTATGAGAGTTGCTCATTCGCGCATGATGATAAAATGGCCCAACTTTTGAGAGAGCGAAACGTCACAGATTACCCAGCATGCCTGAGAAGTACCCGTATGTGCGCTCATAGCGCATGCGCAACTTTAACCATGCCCCCCAAAATGCTCGTTCACATCAAGCACGTACATTTGCGTACACGTAACAGCACCGCACGTTCATGACAGCATGGTAATGGTTTGTTATTATGATAGATTTGATATTAACGAGGCGGCAGTTAGCAGCTAGCGGCTAGCTAGTAATTATGCTAATTTACACATCAATCGTTATGTACTTTTATATTACGCTGTAACAGGATCTAGTGATATCCAAGCAACAGAGCTTCATTTAGCACGAAAGAATTATTGCACTGTATATATATATATATATATATATACATATATATATATATATATATATATATATATATATATATATATATGTATATATATACATATATATATATATATACAGTGCAATAAGCTTCTTGGTGCAATAAGAAGCTACAGGGACGTTAATCTACGTCGGTAATATTAACGTTATTTAATACAAGATTTAATCATACAGCCCATGTAGTATATTATTTTACAAATGATGAATTACAGCAAACATGTGCAATATATCCATTATTACAGCTCCGTGGGCTGGCAGTAAGGCGATATGGGTCCGTTCTTATTGTGCATCCATGGGTAAAGATAAACGCATGTAGTGCTGAACACGTCACATGAACGTGCCGGGCGGCGCGGTCCCGTGGGTTAGATGCGCGTTCATAATGCAGAGGGAAATAACTCTCAGAATAACGTTATTAGCACATTTTTACAACTTGAGGAACGAATGTTTTTAATAAGGGCTATACAAGTGTTCATACTGGGTAGTTTATTTAGTTTAAAAAAAATTATCCAACGATTTACAGACCACTCTTTCCCCATGTAAGTCAATGGGAAAAAAGTGTTTCCGGGCCTGGCAACCAAAAGGAAGTGTAGTACCGCCGTTTGGCCAGCACGAATATTTTCATCTGAGTCCGGCGCACTTCCTGGGGGCTTGGAAGGAACCAGTAAGAGTTTACTTCCGGGTTGTAGGACGCGTCACTGTGGAACTCTATTGAGTTCTTTGTAACCAAATGTCTCTCAGAGGGGCGTGGGGAGGGGCTCCTTATTTTCATCTAAAGTAACAGACAGAGAATCAGCACTTTTGAAACAGGGCTGAAACAGAGGGGATTATGGGTAATGCTGCAATGATCTGTTTGGTGTTTCAGCCAATCAGAGACAGGCTCTGGATATATCTGAGACCTGTGATATATTGATGAAGAGGAGGATAATAGGGAACCTTTAATAGGAAAAACCTAAATATAGGACAAACGTTTCGGAGTTGGTTCGTTAACATGATTCATATTTATTTTGAAACATGTGTTATGGAGTTCAGGGTTCAGACGGGGGTCGGGCGATAATGGCAAGGTGTTAAAACTCATTTAAATTCATCCTAGTGGGGATTAAAAGATGAAAACAAAAGGTTCCCTGCAGCTCATCTGATGGCCAGTACGTCAGAGGATAACAGCCACGCACAGAAACACTGAATAGCGAGCGCTGTGATACATTATCTCGTTAGAAGTCTTTCATTGATTCCCGGTCACCTCTCTCTCGATGATTGGCCCGTCTCCATTGATTGAGTTGGCGTTGAGTTGGATCCACAGGTAGGTGGCGCCCACTGCCGTCAGCTGGGGGGGGGCGATGGGTACGGGGGGCTCTGAGGGTCAAACAGAACCAGGATCGGTTACACACACACACACATTAACACACACACACACACACACAGTAACGCACACAGTAACGCACACACGCTGATCTCTTAACGAGGGAGGAAGGAGTTAACGAGTTAATTAATATTCGTGACCTTTGGCGAATCACGGCAGACCTGGATTCAATTACCCAGAATCCCCGGTGGT